AAACATGAATTAATTCCTGTATGCTTGTGGTTGCTTGATACATGCTAACGCCCTTCACAGTGAACATCTTTTGTACTTTTCCATTCTTTCCTCTTCTTCTCTTTCTACAATAAATACTCAAGTGACACCCTACATTAAAACTAGAAATATTTTAAGATAAATAATGAGTGTACTGTATGTGTATTTTACTTTTTTATTGTTTTTATGCCTAATTCTATTTTTAACCCTTTCAGGGTTTCGGCTGTACTAGTACGGCTTACGCCCCACGGTTTTTGACGTACTAGTACGCCTAAATTCTAGAGCCCACAGATCTAGTGAGAGAAAGCTGGTAGGCCTACATATGAAAGAATGGGTCTATGTGGTCAGTGTGCGCAGTATAAAAAAAAATCCCGCAGCACACAGTGCGTAATGAGAAAAAAAAAAAACTTTGACCGTGTTTTTGGATTAAAACAGCGACTTTGCACTGTATTTTCGTATGGTATTTATGGTTGTATTCTAGTTTTCCTGGTCTCATTTTACAGAATGGAAGACATGTTACAGAAATTGAGGTGATTTTGACTGGTTTTACAATAAAAAGTACCTTGAAATTGAGCTCAAAGTAGCAGAAATGTTTGATTTTTACCAAAGTTCAAAGTAAACAAATCAGGCCAAGCTTTCCAATACAGTCACTGGCGGTCTATATTCTTTCACAAGTGCGCTGATATTATTTATACCATTTCTACACTAATGCAGTAGTCTGCATAACAGTAAATCTTCTATTTTTTGTAAGAATAAAAATTCAAAGTGGAAAGCCAAAGGGGCCTGGGGATGTGATTAACGAGCAGAGAATTTGTTATTTTAATGCGAGGAATGTCTTCCTTGTTTATTCTGGACCCTATTCGGAAATTGGCACCTTTTGAAATTTGTGTGAAATTGGCAAAATTGCTAAATTCTGACCACTTTATTGGATAGTTGAAATCAGTAAATGGGTGGTTTCTTGTATTCATTCAATAGAAACAATGGAGTTCTAGCGAAATAGTTATGATTTTTCTCGACTAGTACACTGGAATTGGCCGAAAATAGGGCTCAAAGCGGGCAAAATTGCCGATGCGTAAACATTGTCGAGACCGCTAACTTCGCGAGAGTATAATTCTGTAAGTTTTCCATCAAATTTCATACTTTTGGTGTCATTATGATCGGGAAAAGATTCTTTATCTTTTCATAAGAAAAAATAATTTTTTTTTAAATTTGGCGACCCTGAGAACAAGTCTGGGAGACGGCCTGAGGACCCTGAAAGGGTTAATATACTAAAAAATGTTATAAAAGGTGCAAAGGTTACATTAAAACAATATCTAAAGATGGTTGACCCCGTGGCATGGTGCCTAAAGGTCTCGCTTCACACACGGAGGGCCCAGGTTCGATTTCCGGTGGGCGGAAACATTTCGACACGTTTCCTTACACTTGTTGTCCTGTTCATCTAGCAGCAAGTAGGTACCTGGGTGTTAGTCGACTGGTGTGGGTCGTATCCTGGGGGATAAGATTGAGGACCCCAATGGAAATAAGTTAGACAGTCCTCGATGACGCACTGACTTTCTTGGGATATTCTGGGTGGCTAACCCTACGGGGTTAAAAATCCAAACAAAATCTTATCTTATCTTATCTGACACAAACCAACTACCAATTCACCAGTTACTTTACTGATCTACTCTTAGCAACACAACTCAGTTGTTAAGTGAGGAGTAACAGCAGTCTTGTGTGGATTAATTTTTCGAAAAATTTGGATAATTAATGCTAAGTTACAGTTATTTACAAGAGTAACTGTGGTAACTCTCGCTGAGAGTCTTAGTTCCTAGCGAGATGTTGAACAATAATGGTGGTTGAAAGAACATGAGTATATGTATCACACATGTATCACACTCACATGTATATACACATGTATCACACTCACATGTATCACACTATGTATCACATACACTATGTACCACACATATGTATCACACACATGTATCACACTCACATGTATATACACATGTATCACACTCACATGTATCACACTCACATGTATATACACATGTATCACACTCACATGTATCACACTATGTATCACATACACTATGTACCACACATATGTATCACACACATGTATCACACTCACATGTATATACACATGTATCACACACATGTATATACACATGTATCACACTCACATGTATCACACACACTATGTATCACATACACTATGTACCACACATATGCATCACACACATGTATCACACTCACATGTAACACACACATATATCACATTCACATGTATCACACACACATGTATCACACATATATCAAACACACATGTATCACACACACACATGCATCACACTCACATGTATCACACTCACATGTATCATATACACATGTATCACACAAATGTGATACATGTATCACATTCACATGTATCGCACTCACATGTATCACACATGTATCACACATGTATCACACACGTATCACACTCATGTGTATCACACTCACATGTATCACACACACATGTATCACACACATGTATCACACACACATGTATCACACACACATGTATCACACTCACATGTATCACACACATGTATCACACACACATGTATCACACACACATGTATCACACACACACATGTATCACACACACACATGTATCACACACAAGTATCACACACACATGTATCACACACACACATGTATCACACTCACATGTATCACACACATGTATCACACACACATGTATCACACACACACATGTATCACACACATGTATCACACACATGTATCACACACACATGTATCACACACACACATGTATCACACTCACATGTATCACACACACATGTATCACACACATGTATCACACACACATGTATCACACACACATGTATCACACATACACATGTATCACACACACACATGTATCACACACATGTATCACACACACATGTATCACAATCACATGTATCACACACATGCATCACACTCACATGTATCACACACACATGTATCACACACATGCAACACACCACATGTATCCACTCACATGTATCACACACACATGTATCACACACATGCATCACACTCACATGTATCACACTCACATGTATCACACACACATGTATCACACACATGCATCACACTCACATGTATCACACACACATGTATCACACTCACATGTATCACACTCACATGTATCACACTCACATGTATCACACTCACATGTATCACACACATGCATCACACTCACATGTATCACACTCACATGTATCACACTCACATGTATCACACACACATGTATCACACTCACATGTATCACACACACATGTATCACACACATGTATCACACTCACATGTATCACACACATGTATCACACTCACATGTATCACACTCACATGTATCACACTCACATGTATCACACACATGTATCACACACATATATCACACATGTTTCACACACATGTATCACACTCACATGTATCACACTCACATGTATCACACTCACATGTATCACACTCACATGTATCACACACATGTATCACACTCACATGTATCACACACATGCATCACACTCACATGTATCACACACACATGTATCAAACACACATATATCACACATGTTTCACACACATGTATCACACACACATGTATCACACACACACATATATCACACACACATGTATCACACACACATATATCACACACACATGTATCACACACACACATATATCACACACACATGTATCACACACACATGTATCACACACACATGTATCACACACACATATATATCACACACACATGTATCACACACACATGTATCACACACACATATATCACACACACATGTATCACACACACACATATATCACACTCACATGTATCACACACATGTATCACACTCATATGTATCACACTCACATGTATCACACACACATATATCACACTCACATGTATCACACACATGTATCACACTCACATGTATCACACTCACATATATCACACTCACATGTATCACACACATGTATCACACTCATATGTATCACACTCACATGTATCACACACATGTATCACACATATATCACACATGTTTCACACACATGTATCACACTCATATGTATCACACTCACATGTATCACACTCATATGTATCACACTCACATGTATCACACACACATATATCACACTCACATGTATCACACACATGTATCACACTCACATGTATCACACTCACATGTATCACACACATGTATCACACTCACATGTATCACACACACATATATCACACATGTTTCACACACATGCATCACACCACATGTATCACACTCACATGTATCACACACACATATATCACACATGTTTCACACACATGCATCACACTCACATGTATCACACACATG